AATATTCACCACATGTCATGATCGCTTTCATCTGCGCCTCAATTTTAGATGGGGTTTGCACTTTGCAAACCTGTGTGCTTTAAGCATTTACTCTTCAGCCGCTTGCATTTCCCGTGGTCATAAAAGCTCCTTCCCTGTCATCTGACAGCGGAAAACCTTGAGTGATTGACAGCTTAGATGAAACAATATAGCGGCAGAGAAGAGCGATTCAGCACATTTTTAGAAAAAAATCTAAACAGGTCGCACTACAACCATTATCTGCAGTCGCACTAATGCTCCCAAATATATTATGAGGTCGCATAGATTAATTTTCGGGCGCATATGCGACCAAAATGGTCACAATTTCGAGCCCTGTTAGAGAGTTGAGTCCTGGAGCAAGAGGGAGCTTTTTATTTGTTATTATTAGAGAGTAGGGAGTTTCTACAGGTGGTTTGTCAAGCCCACTCACAAAACACTGGAAATATATCACTATGCAAATAAAGATAGATGTGAAGTGACATTTAAAGGCTTCACTAGGGTAATTAGGGTAAAGTTATGGTAATTAGGCAAGTAATTGTATAACAGTGGTTTGTTCTGGAGACAATCCAAAACTAATATTGCTGAAGGGGGCTAATAATATTGACCTTAAAATTGCCTTAAAATAATAAAAAACTGCTTTAATTCTAGCTGAAATAAAACAAATAAGACTTTCTCCAGAAGAAAAAATATTATAGCAAATACTGTGAGAAACTCCTGCATCTGTTCAACATCATTTGGGAAATAATTGGACAGAAAATTCACACGCGGGCGAATAATTTTGACTTTAAATATGTGTAATGTCCCCGCAATTCACAAAAAACAAACCTGTGTGTGTGTCTGTTCAGGTGAGTTTTCTCCATGCCGGGTGAACAACGGAGGCTGTCAGGATCTGTGTCTCCTCACATCAGACGGCCGGGTGAACTGCAGCTGCCGTGGAGAGAGGAAGCTGCTGGAGGACAACACATGCATCGGTGAATCTGGAATATCCCATAACATATTCGCGAATAAATGTATCAGTGGCTAGTTTTGGACAACACTTCATTCATGCATGCACATGAGGAGGTTGTGATGTATTATGTGTTTGCAGAAGTGTGTGTGTGTGTATGTTAACAGTTGTGATGTTGTGTTTCTCAGCTCAGAACACGTCCTGCAGCAGTATGGAGGATTTCGAGTGTGGGAATGGAGACTGTATTAAATACACACTCACCTGTGACGGCATGGCCCACTGCAAAGACAAGTCTGATGAGAAACAGTCCTACTGCAGGTGAGTGTGTGTGTGTGTGTGTGTGTGTTATTGATGTCTGGGCTTATTGAAGTCCACTTGTCGCTCTGATTGTCTGTGTTTGTGTTCAGCTAACCGTGTGTGTAAGAAGGGCTATAAGCGATGTGTGAACGGCCGCTGTGTTGGTCATAACTCCTGGTGTAATGGGCGAGACGACTGCGGTGATAACTCTGATGAACTCTTCTGTAATGGTAAGAGGATCTGATCATACACACTACACACTACATACTACATACTACTGTACTGCTGCAGACTCTTAAAGGGGCATAAAAACTCGCTGTTTCAGCGCTAGTTAGTGCTTAAAAATAGTGGTAGAGGGGGTGTGTTCAGCTGTAAAGGGGTGTGTTAAACTGTAGGGAGTGGGTGTGTTCAGCTGTCAAAGAGGTGTGTTAAACTGTCAGAGTGGGTGTGTTCAGCTGTAAAGGGGCGTGTTAAACTGTCAAAGGGGGCGTGTTCAGCTGTCAAAGAGGTGTGTTCAGCTGTCAGAGCGGGCGTGTTCAGCTGTAAAGGGGCGTGTTAAACTGTCAAAGGGGGCGTGTTGTCAGAGAGGCGTGTTACGCTGTCAGAGTGGGCGTGTTCAGCTGTCAAAGGGGCATGTTAAACTGTCAGAGTGGGCGTGTTAAACTTTCAAAGGGGGCGTGTTCAGCTGTCACAGGGGTGTGTTCAGCTGTCAGAGAGGTGTGTTCAGCTGTCAGAGAGGCGTGTTCAGCTGTCAGAGAGGTGTGTTCAGCTGTCAGAGAGGCGTGTTCAGCTGTCAGAGTGGGCGTGTTCAGCTGTCAAATGGGGGCGTGTTAAAATGTCAAAGGGGTGTGTTCAGCTGTCCGAGGGGTGTGTTCAGCTGTCAGAGTGGGCGTGTTTAACTGTCAAAGGGGGCGTGTTCTGCTGTCAGAGGGGTGTGTTCAGCTGTCAGAGTGGGCGTGTTTAACTGTAAAAGGGGGCGTGTGTTCTGCTGTCAAAGGGGCATGTTCAGCTGTCAGAGTGGGCGTGTTCAGCTGTCAGAGGGGTGTGTTCAGCTGTCAGAGTGGGCGTGTTCAGCTGTCTAATGGGGGCATGTTAAAATGTCAGAGAGGTGTGTTCAGCTGTCAGAGGGGTGTGTTCAGCTGTAAAAGGGGGCGTGTTCAGCTGTCAGAGGGGGCGTGTTCAGCTGTCAGAGAGGTGTGTTCAGCTGTCAGAGTGGGCGTGTTCAGCTGTAAAAGGGGGCGTGTTCAGCTGTCAGAGGGGTGTGTTCAGCTGTCAGAGTGGGCGTGTTTAGCTGTAAAAGGGGGCGTGTTCAGCTGTCAGAGGGGTGTGTTCAGCTGTCAGAGTGGGCGTGTTCAGCTGTCAAATGGGGGGGAGTTGAGGGGCGTGTTCAGCTGTCAGAGTGGGCGTGTTCAGCTGTCAGAGGGGCGTGTTCAGCTGTCAAGAGGGGTGTGTTCAGCTGTCAGAGTGGGCGTGTTCAGCTGTCAGAGGGGTGTGTTCAGCTGTCAGAGTGGGCGCATTAAACTGTAAAAGGGGGCGTGTTCAGCTGTCAGAGGGGTGTGTTCAGCTGTCAGAGTGTCGAATGGGGGCGTGTTAAAATGTCAAAGGGGCGTGTTCAGCTGTCCGAGGGGTGTGTTCAGCTGTTAAAGGGGCATGTTAAACTGTCAAAGGGGG